TCTCATATTGCCCTTCCTTCCATCCATTCTCCCTCCAATCCTTATATCATTTATTCCAGACAGCCTTTGAGTGACATTTCTACTTGAACCGTAAGGTCAGACAAAATCTCACCTCCATCCTATGAGCACGCTACCTGACCCAACCCACACCATCATGCCTTTTGTTGGAATATGTGATGTAATGCTGGAGCCAGGTTTCTGGAAACTAAGTCATACAAGCCTGAACAAAAGGGCCCAAAAGTCTTTGCATGCATGAGATCTAGATAGAGGAACATGTTCAAACTTGGTGTTGTATGTGTGTGTGTGTGTGTGTGTGTGCAAAAGAGAGGGGGGTGAGGTGTAGATGAAGTATCATGTATAAATTCTGATTATACCGATAATGATACAGATAATTGTTGTATAATTAGTATTCGATTGCCTCCCACTACATTGCTTTCCTTACAAGGTTGTACTGTCACAAGAAAAGAATCTTAACCATAATAGCAGGAGCTCCTCTATAAATAAAAGGCTTTTTGCTCCACATTATAGTGCAGTTTGTCTTCATCTTCCTTATCTCCTTCTTGTCAATAAATCTATCTATATTTTACCAAGGTTTTGTCTGGCAGCCCCACTCTGGAAATCACACTGGAATACAGAACGTTTAGACAATTATAAAAGACTACACTTTGGCAAAAAATTGAAGACATGCTGATATCAACCACAGAGACTCTCTAAAGTCCAGTGTCAGGTTATACTGCTCTCTTGGACCTATAAATCTATTGCTGACACATCAGGGTTATTTTTCAAGGAGTGTGTTTTGTGAATCAATATTGGGCATGATCTATCTCAGACTCAGTGTGCTGTGGAGCATACTGTATTTATTTCCTGTCTGTTTTGTGGCAACTCAGAAAAGTAAATAATGTTTACATATAACCAGAGGTTAATTTGAGCTGGATCCTACCAGAACAGGATCCGGCACCACCAAAATGTTTCACACCTACATTCCGAAACATTTTTATGTGGATCTTGCACCTCTGCAGATGGATGTTTAAAGTCTCACGCAGCAATATTAACAAACCAGATCATTTTAATTAACCAAAAATAAAATAGAACAACATAAAAACTGCAATGAATATGCTAAACTTATATTACCGGTGCTCAAATATTACTAATAACCAATCAATAGCCTCTTTCTCATAACGTAATAATTTCAAGTTAAGAGGTCACCTTAATTCATTGTCACGAAGCAAAGCCTACGCTCATGCTGCATGTGTTGTGACATGGTGAAAAGAAAGCAGTTATTATTAGTAGTTAAAAAAAAGTTCTAGAAGGACTGAGGCAATTGTTGGCTACTGTGAATACCATGCCAATCTCAAGTGGAGTATGAGTGAGTACAGCATGAATTCCTTATCATCCCCACCATTTCATCTCTGATGTTTTTGAGCATCGTGGGTCCATCACATACAAAGTTCAATCCCAAACTATTTGTGTGCTCATGGATACGTAAGGGGCACAGGGTAAAGGACACTGACATGACAGCTTGATGGAATATTTTGTGTGTAAGTTCAGGGACCGGGACCTCTCACAAGTCTCCCGATCACTACTCCCTTATTGTTCCAGGACTTAAATTAAGATAGACTGGCATTTCAGTCAACATGTATTCCTGCCTTGAACCCAGTATTCCTGGGATAGACGCTGGACACACTATGAACCTGAGGTTGCTTATTAAAGTGCTTATTGGAAAGTAATGCCCTGTTTTCTTTTCATTAGTAGTTGCCACCTTATCCACTTAAGGGATATGTTACAAATGAGGATCATCAATCATCATGAAGTAACAATTGAACATGATAGTTAATGTGATAGTTGATGTACCTTTTCACCTACAGGTTAAAGTGTAAGAGCACCTTAATGGCAGAGCGTCTGTCTCCTGAGCACTGGCACTAGTTACTGTGCTTTGCAACTGTGTTTTTCTTGATTGGCATCTTTCTGCAAACTACAGTGCCCTCCACTAATATTGGCACCCTTGGTAAATATGAGCAAAGAAGTCTTAATTGTTTTACTTTTTTATCTTTCATTAAAAAATCACAAAAATACTCAGCTCTCATGGATATCAAACAATTACAAATACAACACAGAAAAATTTATCAAAAAAAAAATATATATATATATATCTTTGTTAAATATAGGTGTGCAACAATTATTGGCACCCCTATGAATTCATTTCGGGGAAAATATATTTGAAGTATATTCCCACTGATATTGTACATGTTTTTAGTACTCATGGGTGACTACGAACAGGAAATTGTTCAACCATGACTTCTTGTGAAGAGGATGGTTCAAGTGGCCAAAAAAACTCAAAGGATCATAGTCAGAGAATTGCAGACGTTAGTTGTATCTTGGGGTCCGCGATGTCTTCAAAACTACAATCCAAAGTCACCTACATCACCACACGTTGTCTGGAGCATTTCAAGAAAATAAAAAGCCTCTACTCTCATCCAAAAACAAATTAAAATTCAAATCTTCAGTTTGCCAGACACTACTGGAACTTCAAATGGGATCGGGTTCTATGGTCAGATGAAACCGAAAATATAGCTTTTTAGCAATAAACACCAGCTTTGGTTTTGGCATACACAGAGAGGTAGCCATATGGAAAAATACCTCATGCCCCCGGTTAAATATGGTGGTGGCTCTTTGATGTTTTTGGGCTGTTCTTCAGCCAGAGGACCTGGACATGGCATCATGGACTCAAATATCAACAGATATTAAATGAAAACCTGATGAGAATTGACTCCCCAGAGCTCCAGCATAAAACCCATGAGGTTGTCTCATCACCAGAGCTTCAGTTTAATGTCAAGTTCCTGATAGAGGTCAACGAGATGGCCACCAAGCCACACGCCTGTCCGAGGTCGACGAGACGACCTCCCAAGACACATTTCTGTCCGAGGTCGAAGAAACGGCCTCTCAAGCCATGTTCCTGACCGAGATCGACAAGGTGACCTCCCACGGCAAGTTTCAATCTGACGTTGCTCTGAGGTTGCTCTGAGGTTCCGGGTTCGTCAGTGACACTGACTTTGTTTACTTTTGACATGTGTGTTTTGCTATGGTTTGTCCTGTCTCTGCCCCTGTATTTTATTGGTTGCTTCCAATATGTGTTACCATTAGTCTCAGCTGTTTTTTGTTTCACCCCTGATTATGTTTAGTATTTAAACCCCTCGTGTATCTATTTATGGCAGGACGTATTGAGTGTATTCACCATGCCAAGCCTTTGTTCATCGTGTTCCATTTCGTTGTTTTGATCTTGCGTCGAGTTTCTCATTTTGTGTTTTGCCTTGCCTAGTTTATGTCCGTTTGCTAATCGCCTGACCTTTTGCCTGTTTCTGCCCACGCTTTTGTTTCATGATTTGAATTTGTCTGCCTGCCTCTCTTTAATAAAAGCTCTTATCTGCATTGGCATCCGTCCCAGCCTCCATTGCGTGACAACAGCATGTTAGCTAGTCAGGGGGCATCATCTGGGTGCAGTGTAGGAGAGTTGCACCTCTCAGCTGGACAATTCCTGAATCAAGACTGAAGCTTCATATTTTAACACTAACATCAAGCAGTGCTGAATGGTGTTGACTGACAAAAGTTTATGAAAGTATTCCCAAGCCCATGTTAGGATATCCATTACAGACCCTTGATGGTTTTTAAGATAGTGACGTCTGAGGGATCGGAGATCACACGCATTCAGAAGCTGAGAAACGCACAAGATTTTTCTGCTTGATGAGATATTTTATGTAGTACAGCAAAGCACCAATTAATTCTATAACATTTTGAGATGCAGGATTCTGTTTCCAGAAGTAAGAGCAAAATAGTTATGTGCCTCTTTGTTATTGTAATACTCTCTTCAGTTTCACTCATTCATCTTTATTAATTGCTTGACATGGTCATGGTGGGTCATGGTTGATTCAGGACCTATCCAGGAAACACTGAATTGGATGCCAATTGATTGCAGGGCACCACGCGTGTACAAACACACATACACACACACACACACACACACACACACACACACACACACACACACACACACACACACACACACACACACACACACACACTTCTCAGCTAAGGGCAATTTAGAGCCACCAATGTACAGTATCTCACAAAAGTGAGTACACCATGAATGCCAACATGTACTGTGACATACTGAAGCAGAGCATGATCCCCTCCCTTCAGTGACTGGGCCGCAGGTCAGTATTATATGTTAACGACCCCAAACACACCTCGAAGACAACCACTGCCTTGCTAAAGAAGCTGAGGGTGAAGATGATGGACTAAACCCTATTGAGTATCTGTGGGGCATCCTCAAACAGAATGTGGAGGAGCACAAGGTCTCTAACATCCACCAGCTCTGTGATGTCATCATGGCGGAGTGTAAGAGGACTCCAGTGGCAACCGGTGAAGCTCTGGTGAACTCCATACCCAAGAGGGTTAAGGCAGTGCTGGAAAATAAAGGTGGCCACAAAAAATATTGACTCTTTGATCCCAATTTGGACATTTTCACTTAGGGGTGTACTCACTTTTGTTGCCAGTGGTTTAGACATTAATGACTGTGTGTTGAGTTATTTTGAGGAAACAGAAAATTTACACAAATTTTCTGTTACACAAGCTGTACACTCACTACTTTACATTGCCGCAAAGTGTCATATCTTTAGTGTTGTCACATGAAAATATCTAATCAAATATTTACAAAAATGTAAGAGGTGTACTCACTTTCGTGAGATACTGGCATGTTTGGGTGGTGTGAGAAAACCAAAGAACGCTGGTGAAACCCATGAAGAGAACATACGAATCTCCAACGGGACTGAACCAGGGACCCCTGAGCTATAAGGCAGCAAGCACCTTCTGTTCAAGAGAATTTATATTTACAGCATTTGGCAGACACCCTAATCCAGCATGACTTCTATTTAATTTCATTTCATTTATACATCGGAGCAGTTGAGGGTTAAGGGCCTTGCTCAAGGGCCTAACAATGGCAGCTTTGCAATGCTGGGGTTTGAACTCATGACTGTCCAATCAGTAGACCAATGTCTTAACCACTGAGCTACCACTGCCCTGTGGCATGTGGAATTATAATATATCATCTGTTTGTTTGTAGTTTAAAATATTGTAGCTTTAAAAATCATGTTATGTTGCTCTTCAGTCACCTCACTTTCATATATCTAACAGCCCTGAGATCTGAAAGTTGAGACTACAGAGTAGAGAGAATCTGAGAGTTGAGAATAGTGGTCTTATTTACAGATGTTCTTTGGGCCAAGCTTGGCATGATGGGCACTCAACACCCAATCTCACTGTCAGCACAGGCTCTGTTTGCTTTGGATACTGGTGATATTGAATCCAGTGTCTCCCCCCAGAAGACAAACATTTTTATATATATATATATATATATATATATATATATATGTAGGAATGTTCTTTGGCATGAGTATGAATTTGCAGTTCAGAGGCAGACTGGATTACAAACAAAAAAGTTAGAATTGAGAGCTAGACAGTACAATCCAACAAGATAGCATTCTGCTCAAGGCTTTGCATTGCTACATCATTTAACAAGCTAGGAAACTTCAGCAACAGCTAGAATTTGCCATTTTGAAACAAATAAAATTGCACAATTTGTCCATGCAAAATGGTCTAAAACCCATGAATTCCTTTTCAGAAGACTCGAGGCCTTGCAGAGGCACAAGTGTTTTTTAAGACAAGTCTGGGTTGGCTGGATATTTTATATTCTGGTCATTTGGCCTGTTTAATCCACGGTTAGTGGTTGTGTAAGATTGAGAGGCTGAGGATGAAAGCCTGTTTAGTGGTGGCTCTGGGTGGAGGAAGCCGGTTGGACCCTACAGGCCGGGCAACAGCAAAGAACTGCTGTCACACACACACACACACTTCTGCACTTCCGTCTGATGGATGTTGCACACCAGCCAGAGGAATGCAATGGGTTTTTTTCTCTTTATATTCTATGATTGCAGCTCCACTTGTCAGCACAGCATTCCACATCCTTTTTTATGGGTTTGGCCAGTCCTTTTTTAGCATTTATTTACAGTGGCTCAATCCACCAAGATCCACCAGAATTCCTACAATGGCACAGACCAAAAGGGAATCTGCTACTGCGGATTTTTAAATACTGAAGTTTATGATAACATTGCATTTTGTAAAACACTTCTCTAAATCTTTAACTGGAAATCTGTTTAACAATTCTGTCTGATCAATCACCTTTTCGTTTTGAAGAATTCATAGGATATTTGTAGTGAAATATCTCAAATTGCATTAGGAGCATTCTTTTGGTGCTCCACAGAAAGTCAGTCTTTAGTTAGAAAGAGAACAGTTTAGTCTTGAAAATGTTATGCCAACCTGCCCAAAGAAAATAGAGTTTACAGGCCACTGCCTGTTTGAGCTATTTTCATTGCTTTCAGGACCCAGCCAGCTTAATGATGAATATTTGAGGCATAAATCAAGTGTAGAACAAACTGTTTCACCAAATATCCATTAGATTAGAAATAAAGCGAGGTGAGGAAAACATTCTGGAGAAATGAAATGCCCTTGGCTTTGCTGAAATCTTCTCTTTTTTTTGTATAAGAGCATGTATATCTCAGCTTTGATTTGATATGCTATGCTAATGTATCTTACTACATACATTTTCATGAGATTCAGAAACAGGCACTTGAGTCCTCCTGCACTTCATTTTCTTTATTTTTATTTCCATCAAAGCAAGAGCTTCAGAAAAAAAAGGTTCTGCACTTGTCATTTTAATGGGTTCTCTCTCTCTCCCCGCCTGTTACAACAGTCGTTCCTTTGTAGCTGGCCTGGAAGGGAGATAATCTGCATAATGTTGCCTTTGCCGCACTGGATCAGTGCCAGGCATCAGGAGATCTGCTTTGAAGGCCATTTTCCCGGCTCAGGAGCTGGCGTTTCTCCACCCTCTGTGTGAGACTGGCATAAGCTGTGCTCTCTGGCCAAACCCCTGGCTCCTGAATGGGAACAGCTGCTTTGTTCTACTTGAGCAGTGAGTTCTTGTCGAATGGGTGTGGATGGAAAGGCAAGATCTGCATCCTGATGGTTGATTCCCACCAGAATGTTGGCTGTCTTCTTTAGGCCGGAATCTAAATCTTGCCCAGGTCAGAGGGCATCTGCGACTGGATCTGCTACTGTCAGCTTGGCATCCTATTGAGGAAAACTCCCTCCAAGAGCACGTTGCAGGATGAGCATTGTGAGTGCATACAAACAGGCTGCACCTTTTTTATGTCTCTCTCGGGAGCCCTTCATTGCTGGTTTATCAAGGGCGAATGTCTGACAGTTTAAAAGGCTTTGGGCATTAAATAAACATCAGTAGTAACTGCTGAGTAGTCTAAATGGAAGTGATGGGACAAAATAACTTTTGCTAAGAACTATGGGTTGCTAGTATTCAAGAGGATGATGTCATAGCCATGCTCTTAGAGCAGTCAGGATCACATTAAAATTGCATATTGTCATCTGGCCTGAGTGGGTGAGCTATTCCACATTATAGTATGTACACCAGTATATAGCGGCACATCAGAATTCTTGATAGCTCTCCTTTGTGTCTAGTCTGGAAAAAAGAGAAATACAAAAATGTTGTATTTGGTTTCTTTACCTCAGAAGCTCCTGGATTTACGCTGAATTTTAATTCATAATGACACAAACCTACAGTTATATTATGTCTCACTTCCAATTAGAATGTGACAAAAAATAAGGCCTGTTTTCCCAATGCATGTTTTTCTTATGTGAACTAGATAATACAGGAAGAGTGAGAGTGAGAGTGTGAGAGAGAGAGAGAGAGACAGAGAGACAGAGAGAGAGAGAGAGAGATGCTGAATCAAACAGGTCACTTTAAAAGAATTGCATACGATTCATTTGACACTGTATAAATATTTTCATTACACATTTGGTTTCATTACACCTTTGATTGATTTAGTGTTTTTCAAAATTGTGCTTCCTGCAGTATTCATCCAAGGCATTCACACTGGCCAATGAACCTCAGTAATGGACACATGGAATTAATTAACAAATACCCTTAGGTATAATTAAAACTCAGAAAACCATCTAATTTACTTTTCCCAACTAGCTCCATACAACAATTCAGGAAAGCCACATATGATTAAGTGACTGTTACAAATGGATCAAACTGTCAAAACCAAACTGAGGTAAAAATTCACCTTTCAGCATTCATCTTCCAGAGTTCACCTTCCAGCATTCATCTCAATGAAAGCTGAGCTGTGTATAATAATAATTACATGCCTATTCCTGAAATTTGATTATAGTCCAATTTGTCAGACTCCTGAGGCATAACAATTCCTGAAGCTTAACAAAGCCTTTTTGCTACCTTTGCAAAATTAAATATTCATATATACATATAAGAACACATAATATGGACTTTAAGGCAGGTAGTACACATTTACAAAATGAACTATAAGCAATCATAATGCCATATACTGTTTCTTGAGTGGGGGCATGGTGGCTTAATGGTTTGCATGTTTTCCTCACACCTCCATGGTTGAGGGTATGATTCCCACCATTACCTTGTGTGTGCAGAGTTTGCATGTTCTCCCCATGGTTTGAGGTCTCCTCCGGGTACTCTGGCTTCCTCCACCAGTCCAAAGACATGCATGCTAGGCTGATTGGCATGTCCAAAATGTTTGAATGTGCATGTGATTGTGCCCTGTGACGGATTGGCATGGTTCATGGTGTGGGTCCATGGATGGACAGTGTCCATGGTGTCCCCCACCTTGTGCCCCATGCTACCTGGGATAGACTCCAGGTTCCCTGGAATCCAGTGTAAGCAGTACAGAAATTGGATGGATGGGTGGATGTTTCTTGAGTGGACCAGCAATAGTGGTTTTTTAATGTGTCTTTTTAAAGAAGATTTAGCTTTTATCATCCCCACTTGGAAGCTGCCACATGATGAGGAAGAACTAGCTAATGGGTTGGAAGTAGCAATGACTAAGCATCTAGAAATATTGGAGAAAATAACACTGTAAATGAATAATATTGAGGGTTTTTTTTTGTAATAAGGGTGGCACAGTGGTGTAGTGGGTAGCATTGCTGCCTCACATCTCAGAAGTCTGTAGTTTGATCCTGATCTTGGGTTACTCGTTTCTTTCCACCGTTCAAAAACATTACTATATAGGTGTTCAACAATGGACTAGCATTGCATCCTGGGTGAATTCCTGTCCCATGCCCAGTGTTCCTGGGAAAGATTCTGGATGTCCCACAACTGACCAGGATAAAGCAGTTGCTGAAAATAAATGAATGAAGGAATGTTGCACAATAACATTATACAGAATGTAAATGAAATGTCATGGAACTCCATTTTTTGTTAATGTTCTGCTTTGGTCCTGCCTCCTGGTCTTTGTTTGCACCTATGTCAAAATTGTCTCTATTCAGCTTGTTATGATAGTATGTCAGTTATACTATAAATATTTATTAATTTATTCCATGTGTTAAGCTTTAGTCACCATATCTGTAATTTCAGTGTCTAATGTTCTTGTTTCTATTTCCTTATTTCTTTGTTCCCATCCTGTACATCCTTTAACCTTTGGCTTCCATGTGACAAACCTACCAGCTTATGCCAAAAAACACTGGACTTCTTTACACACCCAGTCAGCTATAATAATTGTACTTGCAGTTTGCTGACAAGGCAGTCATACTATTAGATAATCAGTTCACAGTGTTAGGTTTTATTATTTAAATATTAAACATATTCCACAACAAACTAAATTCATACTCATTATTTTTGCTAGAATATATGTGTGTGTTTTGCCTCTTTATATATTTACTAAGACTTCACTTAACCATCCTATGTTTAGAGACACTGCCCCCATGCCCTCGCAATGTCCTTTCCTAACTGGGTTTTTAAATCAAGTTAAAAAAAATTAATGCAAGTTTTAAAAAAAAAGTAAACCCCTGCAAGCTCAGAGAAAGATAATTTATTCCCCAACATTGTTTCTAGAGCTCGGGTTCATGGGAAGAAGCTTGTGCCAAAGTGGGATTGGCCCTGGGACAAAGCTCCCCTCGGACCCCTGCTTGGCTGCTGTGCTCTTCTGAC